ACTTCCTTTTCTGCTTCTAACTGCATCCCTTGGCTAAAGTCAGCCACGAAATCAGCTAATATTTGGGATTTTATTGCTGTTCTAGGTAGATACATGATTTCATATTCACTTAGTTCTATGACCCATTTAGCTAATCTTCCTGACAATTCATGCTTATGCAATATATTACGTAAGGGGTATGCAGTTACTACAACAATGGGATGACATTGAAAATATAGTCTTAACTTTCTAGATGCCATGATTAAAGCAAGTGCTAGTTTTTTCAGTTGTGGATACCGTGTCTCTGCATCTAACAAAGATTTACTAACATAATAGATAGGAGATTGTTTACCTTGTTCTTCTCGAACCAAAACTGCACTTACCGCGACTTCCGAAACAGCCAGGTAGATGAAAAGTTTCTCTCCAGCCTTGGGTTTTGCTTGCAAAGGTGGATTTGATAAGTATGTTTTCAAATCCCTAAGTGCCTGTTGACACTCCTCATCCCACTCAAAATGATCCTGCTTCTTGAGGGCTGAGAAAAATTTGAAACACTTTTCCGATGATTTAGAAATGAATCTTCCCAAAGCTGTGATTCTTCCGGTCAATCTTTGAACTTCTTTCTTGTTCGAAAGTACATCAGGGATTTCTTCGATAGCTTTAATCTGTGCAGGATTCACTTCAATAACATGATTAGAAACAAGAAAATCTAAAAACTTACCTGATGCCACACCAAATGCATATTTCTCTGGATTCAACTTCATATTATATTTTCGTAAAATTTTAAACGTGTCAGACAGGTGTGATATATGACCTTCTGAATGCTGAGTCTTAACTAACATATCATCTATATACACCTCCATGGTCTTACCTAAATGTTCTTGAAACATTAGGGTAACTAACCTCTGATACGTTGCACCTGCATTCTTGAGACCAATGGGCATTACCTTATAACAGTAAGTCCCCATATCTGTTATGAAAGAAGTTTTTTCCTCATCTCCTGGATCCATCTTAATTTGATTATAGCCTGAATATGCATCTAAAAAACTTAATAACTCATGCCCTGCAGTAGCATCAATTAATTTAGCTATATGCGGTAAAGGGAAAGAATCTTTTGGGCAGGCTTTATTAAGGTATGTGTAATCTACACAAACTCGCCACTTCCCGTTCTTCTTGGGAACCACAGCGGTGTTAGCTAACCAGTCAGGATATTTTACCTCACGAATTGAGCCAATTTTCAGTAGTTTTTAAACTTCTTCTTGAATCACCTTATTATTGAAGGTTCCTTGTTTTCTTTTCTTTTACTTGACTGGGGGATATGATAGATATTCATTCAATTTATGGGTCATGACTTCCGGTGGTATTCCTGTCATGTCAGAATGGGACCAAGCAAAACAATCTACATTAGCTTTAATTCAATCAGTTTACGTTTTACCTCCGGGCTAAGATTAGCTCATATATACACTTTTCTCTCGGGCCAATGTATAAATAACATAACGGCCTCCAACTCTTCTATCATTGTTTTGATGTTCTCGTTCTCCTCCGGTTCTTGAATTGTATCAGGTCTTGAATCCACATCTATTTGCTCTTGTTCAGATGAGGTTGATACCGTGTTACCCCCACCTGAGTTCTATAATTGCTATTTGTCGCCACTCTTAACAGTTGAATCGGCAACGGAATTGATGCTTCTAGAAGTTTGTTGATTGGCTCTGATTTGACATATCCCCCATGGTGATGGAAATTTAATAACTTGATGTAAGGTTAATGGAACAGCATCCATGTCGTGAATCCATGGCCTCCCAAGGATCATGTTGTAAGCCATTTCCATATCTATGACTTGAAATTTGGTATCTTTAAAAACGCCTTCTGCGAACGTAGTAAGCATTGCTTCTCCTTTCGTTACAACACTAGAATTGTCAAATCCCAACAAAGTATGTGCTTTTGGAATCAATTTATCCTCTACTTGTATCTCGCGCAATACTCGTATCAAAATAATATTTACAGAACTACCTGGATCAATCAAAACTCGTTTCACGTTAGTGTCATGTACAAGTAAAGATATTACTAGTGTATCATTATGTGGAGTCAGGAGACCCTCGGCGTCTGCATCGCTGAATATAATATTCTCTTCTTCCAGTACATGTCGCAACCGCTTCCCATGAGTGATTGTAATTTTGGAAGTTTTATTAGTTGCGGTATAGGAAACACCATTGATATCTTTGCCCCCACTTATAACATTGACAGTTCTTTTGGGAGAGGGTGGTTTCGGAGGCTCCTGCCTGTTCTTCATATATGCTTGTTTACCTTTTTCACTGAATAACTCAGTGAGGTACCCCTGTTTAAGCAAATGATCAACTTCACCTTGCAAAAATCTGCAATCTGATGTTTTATGCCCGTGGTCATTGTGAAATTCACACCAATGATCAGGATTTCGTCTACTCGGATTTGATCTCATCTCCTTCGGCCATCGTACCTTATCTCCCATGCTTCTCAAAACAGCTACGAGTTCTGAGTTGCTCACGTTAAAACTGTAACCACCAAACCTTGCTTTTAGACTTCCATTCTCGTCTCGTGACCCACGTGTATTTCGATCGTTTCCAAACCTTGATGAGGAGCCTGATTCCCTGTTTCTAGGTTTGTGATCGTACCTTTGATTATATTGCCTTGATTGTGAGTCCTTTCCCGCAGGTCCCATGTAAAGTTCTTACCTATTTTTACCGGATCTCTTTTCATTTTCTACACGCCTTGAGCTTTTTTCTTCTGTTTTATGTTGTAAAATAATGTCTTCTTCAATCCTCATCTTGGTACTATATCTGTTATAGACATCATTTCACATTATTGCTGGAAATTCTCGAAGACTTTCCTTAAGTCGTCTCATGGCTTCTGAGCTTTTCTCATTCAAATTACTGGTGAAGGTAATGGCTGCCCAATTGTCAGGTACTCGTGACAACATCATTCTTTCGCGCTGGAATCTATCCACGAATTCTCTGAGCAGCTCTGAATCTCCTTGCTTGATTTTGAAAATGTCTTCCATTCTTTTTTCAACTTTTTGTGCTCCCGTGTGTGCTTTGATAAATAAATCTGCAAGCTCAGCAAAAGAATTTATAGAATTTTCAGGTAAGAGAGAATACCATGTTAGAGCCCCTTTAGTGAGCATTTCACTGAATTTTTTGACCAAGACTGATTCAATCTCTTGCTTAGTCAAATCATTGCCCTTGACTCCTGTTGTAAATGCAGTAGCATGATCTCGTGGGTCTGTTGTACCATCATACTTCAAAATATCGGGCATTTTGAACTTCTTTGGAATTGGGAGAGGGGCGGCACTTGGCTTCCATGGCTGTTGAGAATATTTATCTATATCTACTCCTTTGATCACAGGTGGTACTCCAGGTATTTGTTCTATGCGATCGTTTTGTTCCTTAAGCTGTTTCTGCAATGTTAGTACTAGATTTTGTAAATCAGAATTAATTGGATTACCTGGGTCTTCCTCCTGTGTTTCACTGGGGGTTCCACCGCTGCCTGAATTAACCAGTCCAGAACGAGGGTTCTCCAAAGTATTGTTGTTTGGAGTAGGTGTGGGTGGAGCAACAGGTAATTGACTAACAAAAGCTTGTAAAGCCTTGTTGACCTGAGTAGCGATAAGCTTTTGTAAAGCATCATCCATAGCTTCAGCATTCTCAAATTGACCTCGTTCTTCTGTGTGAGATCTTTCAGGAGTGCCTTCACGAGATTGTCGAGGTGAGTCTCGTGGTGTTTGATCTTGAATAGCATCATTTTGTGGATCTCCCTGATTTTGTTGATTGATTGGGTTTCCTTAGACGTTGTCATTGTTGTTCGACATAGTTGATTCCACAAGGAAAATCAAGTTGAGATATAATTGATTATCAGATTCCCGGTAACGGAACCAATTTGTTTAACCAAAAAATAGATTTTTACTCAAAGCTAAGACTTAGAAGAATACGAGTTACTGATAATCGGAAAATAATATAAAGAAAAGAATTTTGAGAACAACAATGTATGAAAGCTAAATAATTAGAGTATATTCCAATAGTGTTTCGTGTCTACAATTATGTGTTCCTTTCCCTTTTATAGCTATTATGAGAATTCAGACCTTACCTTTGTCATAATAAGGTAATTATGAGCAATCAATGACCTTACATGTTACGTTATGCAATCATATACATTAAATACATATTCTCTAACGTTTCTCGCATTTTAATGCGCATTGAATGTTGTATCTGGGCTTTTATTTGCTGTCAGATTCATTCCTTTGATTCTTCACGATCTTTGACCTTTAAATGTCTTGAACGAGTACGAGCATTGAATGTCTTGTATGACTGCTCGCGTCTCTTTTGTTCAACTTGCTCGTGTCTCTTCTGTTTAACTTGCTCGTGTCTATTGCTACCCGTACTTATTGAACAACCTTAATTCTTTGACTGTTTGACCAGTCCACGTGTCATGACACGTCATCTTTAATATGCAAAGTAAATTTTTCCCAATACAATTTGATTATTTCTAGTGTAGAAAATTGTCATTTGTCCTTTTTTCAGAATCCATCTTAACTTTTTTTTGGTGGTGTACAACTAATCACATGTACTTAAATAGTACCCTAAAAAACGAGGCAGACCTTAAACAACCTAGTAAAATCTTGCTAGTGGAGTTTGGGGAGGGTAGAGAGTACGCAGACTTTACTGCTACTTCGCAAGAGTAGAGAGGCTATTTCCGAGACACTCTCGGCTTAGAGACAAAAAATCTGTAACAACAACAGAAACAGTAAAAATAATATTAACAACGTGAGAGACAGCAAATATATAGAAAGGGAATAACACAAATAGTATGCAAAAGTATGAAACATAACATAAACCGCTAGCAGTCCTAGACAAACACAAGCGGTCCATTACTAGAGAAATGATTAAAAAAATATTTTATTACATGGTTAATTATTTTTTGTTTTCAAGTTATGTCATTAAGAAAAATATACCATAAAAGAATGGGGCTAAATTTACAATTTGACATACTTTCAGGGTGTTACTTGGAAGTGTGAGCAAGTACGTGGTGCATAATGCATCTTGTCCGGTCACAGTTGTGAAAGGCAGTCCTCAACCTACAAAGGCCTAAGATTGTCTGGCTTCCAAAATAAAAATATAATTTATTTAATTACTTTGGATAACATTTCATTTTTCCAGCTGGTACATTATCCTTTTTGTCGAGAATCTATCGAAAACAAATTTTCTAGGTTCGTGTGCAGGAGTAAAGTCTGTATACGCACCATCCTTCCGATACCCTGCTTGTGAAATTACAATAAACATATTATTGTAGTACTTTACCACTGTTTGCTTTTTGTGTATTTTGTTGGGGTGTGAATCACATTCATAGATATTATGTGGTTTTTTGTTTGAGTGGGGTTAATGGAAAAATTTTATTTTGTGTTTTCATACAACTGACACTAGTTGTATGAGTAAAAATGGCGCGTGGTAGTCACTATTGAAAGTGGTATTTATTTTTTATCCAGCAATTTTAATGTTAAGCAAAAATAGCCACAACTCTATTAAAATTAATATAAAAAGATATTTTTGCCCTTTCTTCCATTGCTTTTCTTCTCAAACCCTCGCTTCTCTCTAAACTCGGAACTCCGATTGAGATATCTTACAGCTTTATAAGCATGGTTAGATAACCAGAAACAGGTTAAAAGAATTCTAATTTCTTCATAGGATCTTCTCTTTATCATTCTGTGCTATGATTTTTAAGCAGGAATTAAAGAGACCACCTGCTTTATCCTACCTCTCTTTTGAAAGATTTGGTCTTCATAAACTGTTGCCGCCTGAATAAAATGTTCTACTCTATCAAAAATCGGCAACAAATTTTGAAAGCTTTTCTTAAAGTTGAAATTCAAAGAGATTCAAATCATTGAGTTTCAAGTTCAAAAGTTAAGGAAATGTAGTCTTGAATTCCTAAAGTTAAGTTCAATAGTTAAGGACACAAGTTCAAAAGTTAAGGACAGACAATCCTTAACTTACAGTTACAAGTTCTAAAGTTATAGTCCTTAACTTACAGTTACAAGTTCAAAAGTTAACGACAATAGGTCCTTAACTTTGATTTCCAAGTTCAAAAGTTAAGGACATACAGTCCTTAACTTACAGTTACACGTTAAAAAGTAAAGGACAAGCAGTCCTTAACTTACAGTTACAAGTTCAAAAGTTAAGGACAATAGGTCCTTAACTTTGACTTACAAGTTCAAAAGTTAAGGACGCTTGGTCCTGAAGTTTGAGTTCCAAGTTCAAAAGTTAAGGACATGTAGCCTTGAAGTCCTGAACTTAGAGTTCCAAGTTCAAAAGGTAAGGACATGTAGTCCTGAAACTTAGAGTTCCAAGTTCAAAAGTTAAGGACATGTAGTCCTGAAGTCCTGAAACTTAGAGTTCCAAGTTCAAAAGTTAAGGATATGTAGTCGTGAAGTTAAGTACAAAAGCTAAGGACATGAGCAGAAGGGTATTTTCGTCCGGGCAGTTAAAGTTTATTAAAGCAGTGGCTAAAGACTAAAGACATTTTAAACGGTGGCTTAAAAGTAAATACTTATGTTATTAGTGGCCAACCGTGCACTTCTCCCGTTGTATGAGGCAACTTTTTTGTCTTACAGTTTTGTGGACCCAGATTTCTGTGAACCCAGAAGTGTAAGATTGGGGTCCACAACTTTTTGAGACAAAAAGGAGCCTTATACAATTAGTGTCAGTTGTATGAGACACAAAATAAAACTTCTCGGGGTTAATGAGATGGTTGTGGGGCAGTGTCATATTTCAAGATTATAATCATGTATAATTTTGATGCTTTCTATTTTCCTTTATTGTTGTCAAATCATTTGTTTTTATCAAAGGCTTAATTTGAATTGCAAAAGACGTCCAAGTTGCTTGACTTTAAGTGCTAATAGTTAAGTTAAAATTTAATACTATAATGATATTCATAATACAAATAAACTGTTTGAGTAAAATTTATTGGGTTCAACCTGAACCCGTAGCTGGACTTTTCTACCTCTGTTCATTAGAGGCGGACCTATAGCTTATGTTGAGGGGTTACTGGACCCTATAAAATTCGGCAGAAATTTTGTATATGTATATGTGTATACTTTGAAAATGGTTTATTTAAATCACTGGACACACTTAATGCAAAAAGCCTTCATAGGCCATTGATTGAACAAAATATTGTGTCCCCTTTGCATGAATTCTTGTGTCCGCCTCCACCGCCCATGTATATATATAACTTTGAATATATAGGATCGATCACAAGTTTTCCATGGGTAATAAAAGAAAATCATATTGATTAAAGACGTCAAGCACTCGCAACCTTTTTCTAAATCAAATACATGATAAATATCTCTTGGCAAAAGAAAATCATATTAAGTACTAAAGAAAATTGGGAATAATAATACAATATAGTCCAAAATCAACCAGTTTTGCACTAGCAATAAATAGCTAGCTCCTCAAGTACTCAAAAAACCCAACAACTCAAATATAAAAACAAGCAATACCAATGCTAGTAGTCATAAATCATCATATTATAAACATTTTTTGTTAAATTAAATTAACAAACTCCATTAGTCTTCTTCTTCTTATCAGCAACAAGTTTCTTCCATGCAGCAGTAACCTCCAGCTGCACTTCTCTATCTGTTTTCTTATGCACGGCGCTGCCATTCGCCTCGGCCACGGCGAGCTTAGCGTTGACCCTCGCCGGAAGTGTGTCTAGCTCGTGGAGAACTTTTCCAATGTCTATTACCTGTTGAATTAGAAAAATATTAATGAAAAACACAAAGGAATTGAACGCAAATAGCCTTTGTACATTAATTATACATATATTATCCATTCACTGGCTATTTTTAGTTTAAGTGGTTGACTGAGGTACTATTAGGGTTAATTCTTCTTGTAAATATAACAAGTGACAAGTCTTTCGAATTTCTATGCTAATGAAATAGTGGAGAATTTTGGTTAGTAAAGCATGACATATTTCAAGTTTTTTTTTTTTAAGTACATAATTTGGAAAGAAGGAAGTGTTTTTTGGAGGAAAAGCAAAAAGATATTTTGATAATAGATGTCAAGACAAGAAGATTTTTTTTTTTTTTTTTTGACTTTTGCATGGGTTACATTTACAATGTCCTTTCATTTTAAGACACAACTTCTCGTTTAAATGAAGAAGTCACGATTCATATAGTCTAATTTAAACTTATTTGGAACTGAGGCGTAATGATACTTACCAGTCGCTCTGCGAGTGTACGGGAGAAATCTTCTCTGATGACAACTCTGAGAACTGTGACATGTTGAGCATTTGGTGGCATAGTATATGCAGGAATAATCCATCCAAATCTTCTAAGAGTTTCAGAAATTTCGAACTCATTGTGTTGACTGTTGTCTTTAAGAGAGAATGCAACTAATGGAACTCCAATTTCTTTGGAGATTATGTTGAATCTTCCACTTTTTTCAAGTCCTTCTTTTAGTACCCTTGCATTTTCTTGACAATTCTCCATAACATTCTTGTAACCCTGTTTTAACATGGGAATTTCATATTGTAAAAAAAAAAAAAAAAAAAACAGTCCGGTGCAATAAGCTCTCGATATGCGTGGGATCTAGGGAAGGACCGGACCACAAGAGCCTATTGTAGGCAGCCTTACCCTGCATTTTTACAAAAGACTGTTTCCACGGCTCGAACCCGTGACCTTTTGGTCACATGGTAGCAACATTACTAGTTATGCCAAGGCTTCCCTTTCGAAAATTTCAAATTGTAAAGAGTATATTTTAAGTGTGTTGTTTGTGAAAAAGATATGATTTTTAGAGTTCAAGTTTCTTACATCAGGTCATTCAAAAGATATCCATAGGCAAGACGCCGTAAAATGCGAGATTTGTAATCTTTAAATTAAGAATGATTACTTGATATTACCGATATAAAAGTGATATGATAGTGTAAAAATTACTTATAGTGATGATGTATATAATTTAAACTCGTATTTTTATGCAATTGATAGTTGATTAAATTGCACTAATAGAACTTAGAAGTAATGGTAGCAATTGCCTCCCCATAGCTTCATTGAGAATAACAAAATTAATCTTGAACTCACCTCAAAACCCAAGCGAATAAGTTGGTAATATTGAGCAATTACTTGGCTAGAACCTGCATTACCAATAGCAAAATATGATTAGATTTGCAAGGCTAGTGATATAACTCAAGTGGTATATATATATATATATATATATATATATATATATAGTTAATTGGAGCATCATATGTTTTATGATTACGCATTCACGTAGGGTCTGCGGAAGGACTATACCCCAAGGAGTGTGATGTAAACAACCTATCCAAATACAAGCATTAGTGGCTGCTTACATCGCTCGAACCCGTGACCTATAAGTCACAGGGAGATAACTTTACCGTTCCTCTAAAATTCCCCTTTAGAAAAAGAGAATGGCATCATCCGGACTCGATTTTTGACGAGTTATGAATTTGATGACAAATCTAGAACTCATTAACCTCAAATCCTGGCTCGTGTATAATTATGCACATAGTTAAGGACTAGTAATGAAGGAATTATACCTTTAGAGAAGTTGAGAGTGAAAGTAGGTTGATCAGCACCAAGATAATTAATGTGGAAGATAAGTTCATCAGGTAAGTCTTCCTTATTCCTCCAAATGGCCCAACCAATACCAGCATAGACAAGACCATATTTGTGACCACTCACATTAATACTCTTCACCAATGGCAATCTAAAGTCCCATTCAAGCTCAGGATAAAGGAATGGTGCAATGAATCCACCACTTGCTGCATCCACATGAATTGGAGTGTCCCACCTGATACCAATTATCAACTATTATGATATTTAAATATAAAAAAAAAAAAGGCAGTTCGGTACATAAAATATTTTGTATTCACGCAGGGTTCGGAGAAGGACCGCGTCACAAAGGGTGTGACGAGAACAGCCTACTCCAATACAAATATTAGTGGCTGTTTTTATGGCTCGAACCCGTGAACTATAGGTCACACGGAGACAACTGTACTTTTATTCTAAAGCACCCCTTCTATTATGATATTTATATAACGAGAAGAAAAAAAAAAAAAGGTATTAATACAAACGAGTATAA